GTCCACTCATGTCACACACACAAAATCAAATTGTATCTGCAAAAATAAGATTTAGAGGTACACACTGGAGTGGTCTCTTGAATAGGTATTCCCAAGGAAACAATACAAAAATCTGTTAAGTTTGGGATTCTTTCCAGAGAGAACATAGTATTAAGTTTACTTTGGTGGCATCCAGATCTAGGGACACGTGAAGACCTGACGATTCCTTGGTTTCCACCCAGCTTGCTAGCTAGTTCCCCTAACTTGCAATACCATCTTTTATCTGTGGCATGACCTCATGCTCGACTTTGATTAGCAGTAAGCAGCAGGCAGTCAAAATAGCAGTCAAAAATGGAACATCATTGCTAGAAACATTTTCAATTAAGTGAATTCTGATGGTTGTTCTTCCTCCCAAAGCCTTTCACGAAAAAACCAAAGGTACCTGTTTTCTAACTGAATAATAATATGCCAAACACCCCCTGAACTCCAACTTCTATTAAGGTTCTTCTTACAGGCCAACTCACTGGGTCCCGAAACAGGCCATAACGTGCTTTAGCATGGCTGTTAACGAACCATTTCAAATGAATACTGGCTACTGAAGGAATTACATGCTGTGTAATTGATCTAAAGAACAGATTAGGACTGGTGCTATTTCATTAAATCTTATTAGCTCTGGCTTAAGTACTTAAAATTGCAGCTGTCCCGTGTCAGACAGATTACACCCCTTGTCACACGGCGAGTGAGGTTTTCATCCACTAGGCCACAGGTTTTAAAAAGGAGAGGCTGATGAAGAGGAACGTAAACGGTTTCCAAAGGACTGCGAAGGCCTGATCTTCAGACGTGCCAAGCCCCGGATTATTCACTGAAGTGAGACAGATAGTTCAATGCTTTCAGAATACGTACGAAGAACTGTTGTTTGTTTCCGTATTTTTGTCTTAAATCATTTCTGTGGAACCACAGTTCAGCTTTTTGGTTGTGGGACATTCCTCATGCCTCGTGGATGAGGACAACATAGATCTTCATGTCATTGCAGTGGAATCCGTTGGGTCCTTCACCACCACCTTTTTTAGCTCTTCTCCGTTGCTGTCCGCCGGCGGTTAGCGTGCCTCAGGAACCACCGAGCCAATAAAGCTAGAGGACAATCCTGGCTGAGCAACAAATGGCTTTAATCAAGCCACGAATAAATTCAGCCTGGAAAATAGTATATAGCTCTCAAAGGAGATACGGCTTTTTTCCCCACAGGACTCAAGCTGATTTTTAGGGATCCTGACATGCTTAGAAAAGTATTTTGTTACTGGTTTGGCCTTTGACAGCAGTGTACTAGCCCTGAGGTTCCTTATCACCTTCTGTTCTTCTGCCTGAGGACCTAGTGTTTAACTCCATAATCCCCTAAATCAAACAAAATAACAACTGAAGATTCTGATCTGAATTTTCTCTACAAGGCATATTTCGCTGTATTAAATACTTTTCATAATATCTGGACTGCTGCACTGTGGGAAACGAGACTGAAAATTTGAAACAACATTAAGCAGGACTTCAGATTATACTAAGGGGTAAAATACTGACAAAAGACCCATAGACTTTGGTTAAAACAGATAATACTCAAGGCTTTCTTAATTATTATTCCTTTTATGAGAGAATATTTAAGACCCTCTCTCTCACATGCGGAGTCACCAGGTTAATGCCACAGCCAAAGCAGTGGTTCAGACGGATAAAGACTGAAGTAAAAAGAAGCCAACAGATGTATTTTTCAAATATAAGAAATTGTTTCAGTAAATCTTGAAAAAAAGACAATCACAGAAAATACCAATTCCACCTTTAAGAGTTATTTGAATTCTTTTATATTATTCCGTAAATCTCAGAGCCATATAACTATCACAAAAATCTGCTTTCCTTCTTATACTGAAAATCTGGTCCTTGCAAGCCTTCTGCAGCCCGTGGCCTCCACGCGCAGCGCTGGCCGGGGCCGACAGCGCTCAGTCAGGCAGAGTGGCCGCATTCCCGTGCATTGTGCCGGGCACTGAAAACGTGCGGTAGCGGAATTCCAAGGAGAACCAGTTCGCCTTCCTTACAGTGGTGTCAGCGAAGGGTTGTCATGCTTGAAATCTTTGCCAGTAAATGCAGATCTGTCTGGGCTTCTCAGCTTCAAAGCTCCTAAACCGTACATGCAACACTCCTTTTAGGATAGTAAATTTAAAACCTGGTATTCCTCCAAATATTCAGTCTTCCTTTTTCATCTACCCAGGATTTGAAAGGCTTAGCTCCCCCATTTCTAACCAAGGATCAAGCATAGATTGGCAATTCAAAACAAGGGGAGGAGGGGAAAAGGCAAAAAGCCCCCCCCAAATGTATTTGCTTCTGTTGAGTACAGTAACTATACTCTAATAGTCAGGCATTTAGTAGTCACACCGATACATAACTACTTTCAACTTCCAGCCATCTTCATATAAACACTTATGAATTGGAAAGCCTACAGACGACGTGAATGACCTGTGACTTTACTCCCCAAAAAGCTCACCTGGTAAAACCGTCTTTCCCTTCTTTTGCCTTCTCACTTCCCTCGGCCAAGTATTTCACGGAGTAAAACTCCATCAGAGTAAACAAAAGAAGAATACAGCTTTCATACAACTTCTCCCTTTTAAATTGTAACTGGAGAGAAGATGAAAAGTGACTTACAAATAGCTCCTGTACCAAGCGTTCAACACCTGCTCCAGAGATGGTAGCTGTGCTTTTAAATTGCCTTACAGGTTAACAGGAGGTTAAATGCAGGGCAACTCTTCCCAATCTATATTTAGCCTGAAGCTTCCTACCTGTCTAAGACCAGCAGGAAGGCTTGAACACTGCACTGGTCCATGACTTTTTACTGTATCGCTTGCTTCATTAAAGGTGCTACCTCTCCCTGCAGGTCTTACGACATTGTTCAAGAGGTCGTGTTCAACGAACCATAAACATGGAATTTTAAGCATTGTTATATTTAGAATCTCACCCAGAATTATTCTTTTGTATATGTTCATGCATAACCTGATCCACGTGACAGAAACAAAGATCAGCTATTAGCCACAAGTGAACTCCGGGAGGATTGGCTTTGTATTACATCTTGCACACTCTGTTTCAAAAATAAAATTGGGGCAAAAATATAGTGATATGGTCTCTGGATACCACCCAAGAGCTGACAAGTTAAAAGTAAATATTTTATTACATATCATGCCCTTGAAAAATTGACTTTGTTTCCATTTTATTTTGTTCAGCATGCCTTGAAATAGGAATGGCAAAAGCTCTTCAAGAAACAGATCACCAAGATTCATGGTACCGCAGTGGCTGCAATGACCTATTTTCCCAGCTCAGTAAAACAAAACAAAACTTTTTTTTTTTTTTTTTTAAATTACTTTAAAATACTAACAGTGAAGTTAACAGATACCGTCTCTGTCTCTCCTTCAGAATGACTGAGTCTTCTGCAATGAAAAGCCGTCTGCCACGGACCCCCACCCGAAGCCGGCTGAGCGACTTTGTTTCCATTTTATTTTGTTCAGCATGCCTTGAAATAGGAATGGCAAAAGCTCTTCAAGAAACAGATCACCAAGATTCATGGTCCCCCAGTGGCTGCAATGACCTATTTTCCCAGCTCAGTAAAACAAAACAAAACTTTTTTTTTTTTTTTTTAAATTACTATAAAATACTAAACAGTGAAGTTAACAGATACCGTCTCTGTCTCTCCTTCAGAATGACTGAGTCTTCTGCAATGAAAAGCCGTCTGCCACGGACCCACACCCGAAGCCGGCTGACGTTGACAGCGGTCATCAGCTCTGGCAGCCTTTTGGATACGGCCGTGTCATTGCTCTGGCTGCCTGTGCACAGATACTGCATGAACCACTGGATACGTTATTCAGTTCAGGCTCACAAAGATGCTGTCAACAGGTCAACTACAGTAAAATATTTATATTTCAGAGTAACAGTACTTCTGTATGCTGCCTAGTTCTTTCTCGCTCTAATTTGCCCTCTTATCACTAGGTTTTTGTTTGTTTCTCAAATACTGAGAAGACTTGGTTGGTTTGTTCAGGAGATTTGTCTCGACAGCGCTCACAAAGCGTACTTGCTCACAGTTGACATTTTCACAGGATGGGTAACAAAATGGAAGATTCAAGTTGTTAAATTCCACAGACGGCACCTAACTCAGTCAACTCATTTTCAGGAGTAACGAGTATCCAGCTTCCAGGCAGGTTCTGGAACAGCACAACAGTGCACCTGCAGGTACGGCACTGCAGGACGGCAGCCTTGCACTTACGCACCCAGGGCGTGCGGGCCAGCCAAGACCTCTAGAACTTCATCCATCTACTAGGACCTTTACTGCCTCGAAAGAGTTAAATACGCAAGTGCTAGATTGTGACGCCTTTACAGTCAAGAAATGCAAAATGTGGCAATATAATGGAGCATGTGGCTATTTTACCTATTCAACATTTACCTGTGTCTAACTAGAAGAGGTCTCCAAAATGCTGCTTTTTAGCAGCTTGAAGGTTGAGAACCAGCTGTAAACATTTGCGGAACAGTCTCTTTCTAGAAACAGAGACTCCTAAACAATCAACCTTGAAATTTATCATCTATTACATTATATTTCCAGTGTTATTTACAGATCTTTAGTACAATGAACCAGACATGCTGAAAAGGTGGGATTTTTCCAGTCCCCTTTTATATGAAGTACAATAAAAAGGCACATGATTATTCACCATAGGAGTTGTGCACCAGTCAATAACTTAAAGCTAAAAAGCTACCCATCAGAGAACTCTTTGTGAGGCAGTATTGAGATCTCGCCTTTCAACTCATCACAGAAACATCCGTCTATTAATTCCTCTAGGAGAGCCTGAGGAACCTACTTTTCTGCTGTGTTCTGATCTTCACAAGATTTCCAAATCAACAGAAAACTCTTGTTAAGCTTCCCAGGTCATCTACTGGAGCAAGGAAAAGTCAAACAGGGCATGTACGTGTCTGCTTTTCTTTTTCTCATTCTTCTTTTTTGCCTTTGAACACCCAACTGTGGAGGACTCTTGAAAGCCAAGTCCTGTTCAAACTAGTTTGCTTTAAGACAAATGCCTTGCAAGATATGGCACACTGAGCGATGGACAACGGCAGGAGAGGCAGCGTCTCAGCCCCAGCAGTCAATGGCGGCCATGTTTTATCCAGTTTCTAATCATCCATTTTTGCCCCGAGCACCTTTGTACGACTAATCTGAGCCCAAAATTTGCATCCTTTGACATTTCCACTTCTAGGCAACGGCCAGTGTCTCTGCTGATGATTGGACCATTCTGAGAAAAGAAAAGAAAAGGAAAAAAGGAAAAGAAGGATTAAAAGAAGGAATAGAAAAGGTGAAGAGACTAGAAGAAAAATAGTGCTACATCTATAAATTCCTAGACAGCACTATAAAATGCCTGGAAAGTTCTGTATATCAAATGATGAAAGTCCCTAGAAAGTGCTAGAAATTCCTAGAGAAGCTAGATAATCCATACAAAGTGCCAAAACAATTTCTTGATAATTCTAGATTTAGGAATTGCTAGAAAATTCCCCAGAAATCACTAGAAAATCTCTAAAAAGCACTGGAGAATCCTTACAGACTCCAAGATATGGGAAATCCCAGAAACTTCAAGAATGCTTTTGAAAGCCCTAAAAATTATTTGAAAGCTCTGGATCTAAAACTTCCTAGAAAGATGCTAGAAAAATCCTAGAAAGGTTCTAGAAACAAAAATTCCTAGACACTCAGAAAAAAGTACAAGTATGTGCTTGACAATCACTACAGAAACTGAGCGTATTCCAAGAAAGGATAACTAAAAATTCCTAGAAAGCATACCCCCAAATTCCTAGTAATAATATAAGAAAATTCCTGGGTAGCACGTGACCGACCGACAGAAAACATATCTGACTATTTCTAGAAGGCATAAGGGAGAATCCCTAGAACGGTCCTTTAAAGACCTCCGTGGTTTTCATTAAATATCCTCGAGAGCAGCATTCCTCTCCAGTTTATCTCTGCAGGGCTTCTTGAGCTCTTCCCTACCTGTGTGAAATCCCAGAACCTCTGCGCGGGCCTCAGGACATCTTCGCACTTCTTTAGGGTCGGCGTCCTGCCCTTCCCGTCGTCAACGAGGCATTTGGAGTCGGGCAGAAAGGCGGTGGAGCCCAGCGGCCCCAGCTGCAGGACGCCTTCTGAGCTGTAGCGGACGAGCTGGGGAAGAACAGAAAGGGAGGACGTCAAGCGCAGGCGCCGGGAGCCCAGCGCGGGGACGCGAGGCCAAGCCACAGCTGCCCTCCCTGCCGGCCTCTGCCCTGGCCCTGCCGCCTGCTGGGGCCTCCCCGGCCTGGCGCACGCTGCTCAAGGGCAAAGTTGGGAAACTTGTTTTACCAACACAGGGTCTCTGGTAGGGCACGATATTCCCTTCTTTCACACCTCTGCTCCCCACCATTCCCTACCCACTATTGCACTGCGAAAAGGGCAATCAAGAAAGTGAAGTAATCAATATGTAAATCATACCCACTCAGCAGGAGCTGATTTAACGAGGACACAGTGTCTATTTGCCATGCAGTTTGTTCTTAAGAGCTCTGTTAGAGGCTATTGATAGCAACAAGTGTAATTAGTTTTTGTAAATAAATGTTACTGAAAAAATCCAATCATGCACCTAGTATCCAAAAATATGAGAGGAAAAAAGAAATCATGAGGGAAATAGCAGCAAATTTGCTAACATATGCTTCAGGCCTACATAATAAAGAATCACACTCCGATATTTCAGTTGTGTGTGAGGCTTAACTGTTCTGCAATTTAGTGTTGTGGTAAACGCTACCGGCTGTAATTAGAGGCTTCAGGTGAGGGCCATTTATTATTTTAGAGTTGTTTTTTTTTTTAATAAAGAAAACTTAAGCAGGCACAATCATTCATGTTAATTTTTACAGGAGTGTAACTTTTTTTTTTTAACCTTTCTTCTATTTTAAGTGGTGATTTCACTTGCCTCAAGTCATTCACAGTAAAATGGCCTTCAAGGAAAAAAAATCCCTATGTAGAAGGTGAGGTAAAAAAAATTGGTCTCTTGTAATCTCAGTGTGCCAGAATATATTTTATTACATTAATATTGGACCAAGAGAAAATATTTAAAGACATACTATCTGTAGATGGCTTTTGTAGCTTAGGACTAATTGTCACGATACAGATATGTGATGAAGGGAACTGTTTTGCTGTGCCTAGAGCAGCCTTTGTCTGTAAGCAGCGGGCGGCTGCCCCTTTGCCTTCTCCCGCTGCTACGCCTTGGATCAGGGCGACGCCGCTCCTCCGAGCTCGCCGGGACGGCACAGCCCCGGCGCAGCACGCGTGGGGAGGGACGAGGCCAGCGCAGAGCCCCCGGGCTCCTGGGACAGCAGGCGGCGGACAGAAGCTCACATCTCAAGGCACTGCAAGAAAAAAAAAAAGCTTTTCCTAGGGACACACTGGGGACCTTGAAAAGTTTCTTTCAACCCAAGAAGCCCCTGAAAACTGCTGGATGGCAGCAGGCATGAGGAACACAGTCTTGATGAAGGAAGGTTGGTTTCAAACTCTTTATTCTGCCTCCTCCAGATCTGATTTTTCTCTACTGCAATTTGTTTCAATCTGTATTCTAATAAAGCTTCAAAGCCTTAAGGGTGGTTTTAGGATGCTCATTTAGAGGGAAGAGGGGCTCTGTCAGCTCACTCTGTATCACATTGCACCGAGATAACTCTGATAGCGACGGAATCCTCATTTATAAGTTGCAAAAATTAATAAGTAATCTCCTTAATTACTGCTACTTCCTAGATAGTTGAGGGAGAGCCTACTGAGGGAGATTTCAAAGCACATTAAAGTGAAAATGCACAATGTTAATTTGGCAGCAGGCCAATACATCAAATCGACGTATCTACTTCTCACGTCCTCTGTGTTTAAATCCAGAGTCATTACACCAGCATAATATTTTGCCCCTCTTGCCCTAGAAGTAAAGTGCAGCACCCAGGTGCCAGCAGCCTGCAGAATGGAGCCAGCGACACGGCTGGTATGCCGTGCCGCAGGACGCTGCAGGGCGAAGATGTTAGCCCCCGAAGAAACGCAATTATCGCCCAGGACAGTCACTGCCTGCCTGGTCTCATTGCTGTTATGTGCTGAAATTACTTAACGAGAAAGGGAAGGAAGGTCAGAAGTGCCTGCCTTTATTGGATGCTACTGACCAGTGCGGGAGATACCATTAGCAGTCAATCAAAAAACCTCGAATTAGAGTCTAGCTTTCTGCTGCCATCCTCGGAAGAATCACGCTGTGAATAATCATATCTTGCTGGTGGTAAAAAGAGCATGGTCCGCTTGCTCCCAGACCAGATTCCCTTTGACAAACTGTGTTCATCTTCCCACCTGCCACTTCTGTTCAGAGCAACCAGGCGAAGGGCAGAGTTAGAGCAGAGCCTGCATCGGAGAGAGCAGGGGGATAACCGCACGGGGATTCTCCTTGGTCTGGACACTGTCACTGCCGAGGCGCTGGCTATACGCACTAAATCAAGACACTTCTTTTTTTTGGCCTTTCACTGTAAGGGTATGGGGGACATATGTAAAGGAAGCTCAAGCAAGCAAAGTGATTCAAAATATGAATGGACTGCCAGCTCAGACAAATTAACTTCCTTTTTTCCCATATAAAGGAGGGGGAAAAAACTTTTTTTTTTTTTTTAAAGTAAATCCTGGCTGTGTATTTCACACTTCCCATCTCTAATGGGTACTCAGCAGAGTTCAAATGAACTGCAGGCAGGGCTGAAACACTGACTGGGAAATGGGTTCGTCTTGCAGTCTCATTATACCTCTCCAGGTCCCCAAATACCGCCTAGCAACCCCGTTGGCTTTGCCTTGTCTGGAGAATCAGAGCCACTGTTTATAGCGGGCTACCTCCTCTGTAGTATAGGACCAATTTTCCCTGTGGTTTAAAATGAGCAGCATTTTCTGTACTGATATTAAAATGGTCTAAAGTATTATTTGCCTTTAGAATCTCAGTAGCCAGAATTGCATGTGCTCTGCATCGCAGCAGCCACGTGCTTGGGAAAGACTTTGTTACGCGGCAGCCTGTCAAGCAGAAACTACCGTCTCTGCTTAGGCCTTAGACGTGGAAGAGACACTGACTCTACTGAACTATCCCCGATATTGAAAGTGGCAGTTGTGTGACAGCTCAACAGAATCGGAGATGGCTCGGTGCAGGAAACCGCGATCTATACAATGACAAGACAAACAGGGGCTGATAATTATAATTTTCCTGAATCTGTACTTTCTGCCAAGAGTTCCAACAGTCATAAAAACTTAGGCTCATCCTAAAATAAAATAAAATTCTAAAAAAGCCACCCGCAAAATTATCTCAGTTTAGACCACATTATGTAGTAAAGTTTTAGTGCCTGCTTCTGCGAAATCAGACCAGAAATTAACGTTCAAGAAACTACTATATGATTAATAACATCTCCCTCCAAAGACTTCATATCATAAATTTCTAGAGACAACATAAACTGTGAAAATAAAATAAGCATTAAAGTTGCTTATTACTGCAGACTAGAAAGCAGGAACTGGGATACGGAGTCAACGGAACGGTGAAAAGGACACCTGCCGTGTTCAGACACGATCCTCAGTACCACCACCACCACATGGAGACAGAAATAACCTCCGCATTTGCATTAGAGCTGCGGGCACGATACCTCACGCCAAATCCATTCCCAGTGCCAACCAGCCAAAATCAAATGATGAAGCCCCCTTGATTAAGCGATATTCAATCCCATTCATAAAAAAAAAAGTCTGTGCAAGTCCTGATGGTTGAGAGCCTCACGTATCCACGTACTCCCATTGCAAGCTGCAGAACAGAAACAGTTTTATACATCACGGGAGGATGGACCTTTGCTCGGTTGTCTCTTCTATCGAGGAGAGCTGAAGGATCCACATAAACGACATTGATGCTAAGTGCTCTATTAAATACGCCAAGATCTAATCCTGATACTATCTGCTGTACCTATGATAACATAGGATACTTTTCCCTTTAACATTCAGAAATCTGCACAGAATGGAAGAGATGTCAAAGGTTGTTCATCAAAGCCACCGTATCTGATTCAAAACCAGTGAGCAGTGCTGCCTATGGAAGGTGATCCTCCAGGAGCACCAATGTGATAAGTAAATGCCAGCTTTTAATTGAAGGATTTGACTTCAGAAA